AAAGGGTTCTAATAGGTTTAGGGTTTAGGGATGATGGAAAATAAAATGGAAACCACTATAGTATATTGGGGTTATATAGGGAGAGTGGAAAATAAAATGGGAAATACTGTAGTATTTTGGGGTTACATAGGGAGGATGGAAAAGAAAATGGAAACTACTATAGTATGTTGGGGTATATGGGGATAATGGGAAATAAATGGAAACTGCTATAGTATATTAGCAGCATAGGCAACCGATTAAGCAGTGGATCAATCAAAGGATTGACACGGGTGAGTCTGCAACTTTTCTAACCTGAAACGTGGTTCTACTACATTCCTGCTGGGACACAAGGGCTGCAGGATGTACTGCATCTGCTGTATCTGCGCGCAGCTTGTCGTAAATGCGGGCACCTTCCTGATAGTTTTCCAGACTGCAGGCATGGTATAAGGCGTGGCAATCAGCTGAGACTGCACGGCTAGGATAGCGGGTCCACGAACGCACCAGCTGCTGCCAGCTCTCACCCGCCTGCAGCTTGCCAGAAGAAGTATGCCTGATGCCAGGGCCAAAAAGGACTACGGAAGGTATCCGCGAAGCGACGAAGCAATGCCACCTCGTACTTCAGCTTCTTGCCACAGCGGCCGAGGGAATTGCCATCTGGGGATTTCCTGAAATTAGGGGTACCATTCTGAAGGTCCCCCATACTAAGGGCTATGACGAGTATAATACATTGCGGTCTCCTATTCTGGGAAACTACCATCTCTTTTGGTGACTACAGGGCCCTTGCAAGTCCCGGAGCCAACGCAGTAGCTGCGGCGAACACATTGCACGGCACAAGTCGTGGGAATGTCTCACTAACCATTGCTGCTACTACTGTTTCATTACGACTATTACCATTATCATTACTAATACCATTACTCTTACTCTTACTGGTACTATTACTACTGCGGTTACTACTACTATTACAATTACTATTACGTCTACTATTGCGATTATTATCATATTAACTCTTCAAGCCAATGTTACAGCGAGGGCGAAGTCTGTAAAGACATGGCGAGGACCTTCATAGGGGCTATAGGGCCCGCAATGGTGGGTACCCAGGCCCTAATTAGTGGAGGGCAGTTGGAGGGTCTGTGAACTTGGCTGGGCTACAATGGAGGTAGCATATTAGGGTTTACATGAGGGTCCCCTTATTTTGGGAAACTACCCTGTTGACCTTTCCCACCGGCAGCGTCTACTCGAGCTCAAGCGCCTCTCGAAGAGCTGCCTCCTGTAGCTTGACATCGGCCACCATGCAGCGCAAGGGATGGCATGTGATGTCGAGGCATGTGAAAAGATAGCCCCTTTGTGGGCACCTGAAATATTAGGGGCTGTATGGTACTAGGGTCATAACTTCCGAGTCCCTTCAGCTCATGCAATCCTTTATAACCCTAATGACTCCTATGCAAAGAAACTTTCGCAGGTAAGCCGGGAACCGCAAAAAAAAAACATGCTAGGCTACGGAGCCAATCCTTCCTGGTGTGCAATGCTGTTGGGACCACTGTGCAGGCAGGACAAAAAAGCAGTTGCCATGTTCTTTTCCATTAGCCCAATATATCACCAATATACTATAGTAGTTTCCATTTCCATTATCCCTATCTATATAACCCCAATATACCATAGTAGTTTCCATTTTCTTTCCACTATCCCAAGAATGAACCAACACAGAACCATGCTGGTTTCGGCTTAGCGCGCTTCAGCACTCCGGAAGGAATGTACAGCAAATGTTCAAATGAAAAGCAAAATTATATTGGGGCATACTATGGAAATAAAATGGGAACTACTATAGTATCATAGGGTACATATCGGGGTACAATATGGAAAAGAAAATGGGAACTATCATAGTATTATAGGGCCACATAAATAACATTAAATAACTCAGCTCCACCTTTCTTGCACGCATCACTAAGTAACATTCAACATCAGGCTTTGGAAAACTAGAGACCAAAAAAAAGATCGTCCCACATTGGGGGAGGATCTGGAGAGACCTGTTGGCTGTGTCCAGAAGTCTCGTTACTCACGAGTATGGGTAGGGCCTCTCAAAGAGCTTTAGCCTGCATGCCGCAATTTCAGGCACTTTGGTGCCTTTTGTGGCATCTCTTAAATGAGACCCAGCCATCCATGGAAAACTGGTTTGGAAACACTCCCACTTGAAAGGCTTTCAGTGAAATTCCTAGCAGGATGAGGGCTGTAATTACTGTTTGGGGCGCAAGAACTACTGTACTAGGATCATTATGCGGTCTATGCGAAGTACCCTGTACCAGGTATCCAAGACCGTAATGTTGGTAGTTACTACAGGGGCCTAAATAATTACCAGTATCATGTTGAGGTCCATTTGGGGTACCATAGACCGTAGATATATAAGGAACATGGAACCATGAATTGGTACTTATTTAGGCCCCCATATTATGACTACAACATCTTCCTCGCAGCTTCTCCAAACCCTAAGCCCTGGACTTTAATCCCTAAGACCTACAACCTAAACCTCAACTAGTCCCTGAACCCTATACCCTAAACCCTAGTCAACCCAGAGTTTGTGCCCCTATCACTATGAGCATTGCCGCTCTAAGTGAGCTCAGTTTTTACTTCCATCTTTCCTTGTGGTTCTCCGCTGCCCCTATAAACCCTATACTCCGTGGACAAGTATGGAGGCCACTGCGCACCTCCATGTGTACCTACGTGACCTATGCGTATATACATATACCTCTATATGTATATGCATACATATGTATATATGTATTATTAATAGATATGTACTTATATGTGTATTTATATGTATATATACACACACGTGAATATTTGCAAATATGTATGTAACGTATCCTTCTGTTTTTTTAAATGCATGTACATGTGTACATTTGAATATATCTATATATATATACATGTGTTATATATATATATATCAGATCCTTATGAATATGCATCTATGTCTATATCTCTATGCAGCTACTACCTTGCGTTCAGGCTAGCTCCAGCTTCAACCTCTTCCCACTCGTCTGGGCCCTGCACAAAGCAAAATGTGGAGTCTGATGTAGGGGCGTTAAGTTTTAGGGAGGGCTTAGGGTTTAGGGTCTTGGGGGGGTTCTGATTTGAGGGACTAGGGTTTAAGGTTAGGAGCCCCTTAGTAGGGATAGAGAGGACAGATAGGAATTATCTGCGGATTATGTAGGGGATTTAGGAGCTATAAATATAGGGATGTACAGGGATACTGCCCAATGCTGGGGAGTCAACTTAAAAAAATGGACAATGACATGGAACCTGGGATTATGTGGGGATTCGCGTCCGTTTTAAAACATGGGATCTAGGAATTATATTGGGTTTTATGTGGATATATATATATATATGAACTGCTGTCATGGATATGTAGGGTTTAAGGTTTCCGAAAATTAGGACGTCACCTTCAGCGGGGTTCCTACTCTTGATGGAAGAACTGTTGCACCGCGTAAGGCCCTAAAAGTAAGGCCTCAAGTAATATAATTCCCGGAATGAGGGGATCTCCGGGTGATGCAAAATATATTCCATCAACAGTATAACAAAATGTTATGCTACTTTGGTGTATATGTTGGGATCCCCGCATGTGTGGGAAGCGCCATATTAAGTCAGCAAGCTGTTGAAGGTGCGAAGTCCAAATCTAATCGGAAAGCAAGACCCAAGTAAGGTTAAGATTCACATGTAAGGGGGTGGCCTTTTACAAAGGGTCTATAGGAATATGCAGAGGATATATAGGGATGTACAGGGATTTACCCCAATGATAGAAAATGGAGAATCAAATGGAAAATGAAACGGAAACTGAGATTTTCTAAATGTTTATTGGAATTAGGGTTTCCCAAAACTCAGGGTCCCCTTTTGGGGGGTCCCCATTACAAGGATCATAGTATGTTGGGGGTCCATGTTAGGGCTCAGAATTCGCATTTCTGTGGTGTTACTAGTGTGATGAAGTCGCGAGTTCAGTGCGCATAAGAATGTCTGGTGGAACAGGAAGGACGCGCAATAATACTATCATGGTTATTGCTATTGTCGTATCATTGTTGTGATTGCTATGGCTAAGTTATTGCCGCAATGAGGCCTTTGCTTGATTATATCTTGAGTGCTTTCCTGCCTGGGTTTCTCCAGTTTTCGAGGTGTTCGGCTCACCGTAAAAGCGGTCAAGTTACTCTCAACCCTCATCCCCCGACCCCTTAACCCCTAATCCCTTAACCTTGGGTACTGCCCTCCCCTCACTAACAGTTGGACAATTATAATAGGGTTATATATAGCCCTTAATATGACCCCCAATATAGACTGTTACTGTACCCAACCTAAACCCATGAAACCTTAAACCCCTAAACCCAAAACCGCTCCTACCAGGCAACCTGGTCTTCGTGATCTTTTGGTCATGATGTCGGCTGTTCTTATAGTCCCCCTCAAGTAGATACAAGTAGAATGTGGGGTATATGGGGATATTATTATAACATACCCAAAGCCATATTCTATCTACTTAGGGGGGACTATATCACCATGACGATCATCACTTCGGGGGTTTGCCTTTGTACCCTTAAGGTTTGTACCCTTGGGTTTGCGTCTCGAAGCCATGGACTATGGTCCTTAATAAGGGTTTTTTGGGACCCAAAACCTCGGGTTACAGATCAAGGGTGCAAACTTGAAGTCTTTGATCACTTGAGACCAATAGGTGTTTGAAAAATGGAGGTCCCCTCATATACTTCAACATCGCATGATGATTGCTACAGAGATCTGTCAGTACCCTGGTAAATAAGACACCCAAGGAAACAGTAGTAAAAAAGGTACTACTGTGGTACCTAGGGTTGAATGTAGGTCCGTAACCCTAAACCCAAATCCCTACTATTGGGATATCAAGGGTACTACTAGGGTACCTAGTGTTGAAGATAGGCCCCTAACCCCTAAACCCTAATCCCTACTGCTAGGGTATCTAGGCAAAAATAGAAAAAAGAAAAGGTACTGTGGTTTCAATCCGCAGGTGCACAGGCCTGGTAGCCCGCGAAATCACTGTCGCCGAAGTCATCCGCCTGGGCCACCTTTGGGGCAAAAGTTTAGGGTTTAGGGTTTAGGGTTTAGGGCTTAGGGTTTACAGGGTTTAGGGTAGCTACAGACATGGACCCAGATTTTGGGAAATGGAAAACAACCTTGACACTACTATATTCTAGGGTGTAGGGTTAAGGGGAACTCAGTAAGGAGGTCAGCAAAACAGGTGAGTAGTGCAGATTACTGGGGCTGTTAGATTTCTTATAGGGGTTTTAAGTATGCTAGCTCAGTATCTCCAGACCCTCCAAGTAGGGTTCAGGATTTACATCTAGACCCTGCCAGGTGTTCATCCATTTTGAAGCGTCTGGACGAATGTCCTATCCAAGAAGCTACACAAAGTGCAAATAGGAGACACATTTGGGGATCCAGGAGAATGAGGATAGTTTGCAAGTACTACAGGGGCCTAAATAGTCATTAATGTCATTTTGAGGTCCGTTTGAGGTCCCATAGACCATAATTACCAGAATATTGGTAATTATCTAGGCCCCCTATATTACCTCACAAAACGCAGGGTAAGGAGCCATCGGGTAAGAACTCGACCCCCAAGCAGCCTTCCTGAAACATCTGGCATCTAGGCAGCCATGAAGCGACAACTCAAGATGTCAGGGCCCAAATATCCAGTCGAAACAAAGCTGCGAGGGTGCCTACTATTCCCAATAATTGAGCCTAAGCCCCAAACCCCTGGATGTCCATCCGGAAGGAAGTCTCAAACAACCCCCCCTGCAACACTCACTGGGTTTAGGGTCTAGGGTTTAAGGTGAGTAGGGAAAACGGGAATGTATTACATATTCCCTGATTCCCTACTAACCACCAGAAATACATTCTCCAGCTAATGATTGGACTCTTCTCTTGCGCGCTTCAAACTCCTCTTGGCGGCAGTTCCTGAAAGTAAGGTCCCGGAAGAGTATCTATGATTGGGGGAATTTGTTTCTTTGGGGGAAGTCCCTAGACCCCTAGTCCCTACACCCGAAAACCCTAAACCCTAAACCCTAAAATCCTAACCCCTAAACCCCTAAACCCTAAATCCCTAAACGCTAAAATCCTAACCCCTAAATCCCTAAACCCTAAAATCCTAAACCCCTAAACCCTAAATCCCGAAACCCTAAAATCCTAGCCCCTAAACCCCTAAACCCTAAATCCCTAAACCCTAAAATCCTAAACCCAAAACCCCAAAATCCTAAACCCTAAACCCCTAAACCCTAACCCCTAAATCCCTAAATCCTTCAACCTCAAGGAAACCCAAAGTCCCGCACACCCTCCTGGCCAGCCTGTTTCTTCTTCATCTGCCGTGTGAGATGTGGATGGTTCTCCGCAATGTAGTTCTGAGCAGGGTTTAGGGTTTAGGGTAGTCTCTCAGTGGGGAATATTATGATATATTGTAGTATATTATAGTATGCTATGGTATATTATGGTATGTTGTAGGGTATTATGTAGGTCGTTATATACTGGGATAATGGAACAAAAAATGGAAACTACTTTAGGGTTTGGGGTTTAGGGTTCTCCGCAGTGTAGTTCTGAGCAGTTTACTTTTCGGAGGTTAGGGTTTAGGGCTTGGGGGTTAGGGTTTGGGGCTTAAGGTTTGGGGTTTAGGGTTTAGGGTTGGAGGAATAAGGAGAATGTACTTTCCTACTCAACACCAGTAAGTTTAGATTTTGGCGCCTAGGACCCTTAGGGCTGTCTTGCGGGCTATAACATGTCCTTCAAAACTAGGTACTCGCGTCTTTCGCCGCCGTGAAAGGTATG